TGTGCCAGCATGACAAAGCAGGAAATGCTAACCTAAACTTTGGTTCCAAATTTGGATGCACACTCAACAGAGGCCATTCCAGTGCAATGCTTATGACCTCAGAATGCCAAGACAAAAGTCATGCTCAAAGGATTTTGACTTTTCAAAGCAAGGAAATCCAGCAGCAAGTCTCAAAAAAACAATGGAAAAATGAAATTGCTCAACAGTTTAAAGAAAGCAGAACATATCACCGCAAAAGCATAACGTGTGCAAAGTTAGGGAACAACATTTCATATGTATGATTGTTAGGGTTTTTTTTTAAGCTCAGCAGATCTTACACACATGTAAGCACATAAGTAAGGAGTAAGTCTGCAAGGTGTTACTTAAAAACAAAGCTCCTGTGTGCCTGCAAGCCCTATTAAGACTTGGTCTCCTAGGTATACTATTTACATATATTTGGAATACTACAGTACTTAAGCACTCATGGGAAAGCATGCTGATGTTTACTGACCAACACTAAGTTTTATTGTGTGAACACACCAGCAATACTGCTACTGTAGTTACAAATGGGTCTAACCATATATTCAGAGAGAATTATAAAGTAGCAATTACACTAAGATTGTACTGTTTGATGGTCACACACAGTATGAATAAAACACTTGGAAAAAAAAAAACCAAACCAAAATAAAAAACTGTGGCAATGTCATTATACACAGGACACCTTCCAATTTCCAGGTCAGAAATAGGTCTTTCCAGACCTTAGCTATTTTTCAGTTCCTAAAATATTCTTAATTGGTTGAATTCCATTTGGGTTTTAGTTTGTCTCAAAATGCCTTAATTATGCTTTTGTATGTATATGAAACAGTGCAGAAAAACAAGCTTTCACCAAAACTGCACACAGCCTGGCAAGTCATCAAAACAGTGTTTCTTATATTAGTCCAGATCCAGAGAGGACCTTATTCCTTGCTGTGAATGAAAAAACCTATCCCAAGTCCACTTGGATTACAGAAACATTACAGTCTGTTTCTCTGTTTCAAAGCAACTAATTTAGCATGTCCTTTTGTTTAAAAGTCAAACTCATCTCTAAGCCAGTTTTACCATATCAATAATTATGATGCTGAAGAATATGTGCAAGATACCCTAGTGAGATAAAAAGCTCATAAAAAGCTTATGTTATTGAACAGTGCTGTTTCTAGCTGTGACACTAAAATGAAATTTCAGCCTGAAAAATTCTGGAAAAATACCTTGATATATCAACTGAACCACTTTGAAATCTGCTCAGGTAAGTACATTTTATCCTTCCAAAACCTCATTCTATCCAATACTGCTGAAAAAAAAAAAAAAATAGACCCTCATTGCACAAATAACAAAAGGCAAGGTGAAATACATGGGGCATCAGAGAATCAAGAGCTTTAGTAATTTTAAGCATGCATCAGATTCAAGTTTTGATAGTGTTGTGTTGATGCTTTGCATGCATCGAAACAACACTGATATATATTTGCCGACCTTAGATTCACAGCTCAGTCTTAGAAACTTCACTACAAACAGCAAATAACTCAAGTACATAGATGGCCCAATTCAACCACTTGTTTACACTTTTACTGTACTATAAAAATAGCTGTTTTCTGTTTCCACAGAAAGACATTATTAGTATCTAACCTTTCCATCCACTGTAACACATTTGCCTCACTCAAAAATATTTAATTAAATTGTGACTACACATGTGCTGCTGAACAAACCATAGCTGCAAGATTTAAGAGTGTATTCCAAGAGGACAGAAAATCTGCTAGTAAAAGGCTTGGTATTTCAGACTAACTGAAACAATGGGGAAGCTGAACTGGGGAAAAGTCAATCAGCCAAGTGCAAACTGGGCTAATGAAGTACAATGGTTGGTTTTTTTTTTTGTCATATGACAGTGAGCTCTTGCTGAATTTAATGTGTTTAAATTGCTTTTTTCCTGAAGACATCCAAATCCTGTATTTTTAACTAAGCTTTCTTTAAAAACGCAGAAAGCAAAGAGCACCACTATTTTTAGCAAACGCTATAACCTCACACCCTATGTGAAGGTTCATTCTTCTGCTACCATAACAAGCACAAAGCATACTACAGGTGAAAAAGCCTATAACTATTGCTGGACTCAAGTATTATAATACAGAATTTATCCGAAAGTGCTGCAAAAATTAAAGGAACAGTCACCTTAAAACATGTGCACTTTCCAAAATCTTTTGCTGCCAAAAAATCTTTCACAAAAACATGGATCTAATGACCTTAGGGTCAACAAAGGGTTTATAAAACCATACCATAGCATTAGTATCAGAAAAAACTTCGAAGTCTTCCAGGTTCTTGACAACTTAAATGTGTTGACAGTATCTCTTTAAGAGCTGAATGTAAGATACTGTGACCAGCTAATACAGCTGTACACTTGGTAACTCAATCTTCATGAACAACTGAGTCAGTGCTTATTTACTAAAAAAGCAGTATGATAAAGACTCATATTAAAAATCCAAACATTAATGTTGCAAGAAAAGATGAAGCAGGAGATTTTCCTCACTTTCAGAATGACAGTTCAGCCATCACTCTTGTGCAGGAAGTCAGCTGATGAAGAACTCTGGTCTACTTTGAAAGAAATCAAGTATAGTGAGTCACGCTGCCATTTAAACAAACAGTTCATACTCAGCTGGGGGACAACACACGATGCTTGTGTCTTTATGTTCTGTGACATAACCACACAACCTCATCAAGCTCGGATCATGTCTTATCATTAGTACGTATAATAAAATCCTCTTTTACAGTTTCTACATAGGAAACAATTGGACCTTAGCAAATATCTCAAAAGTTTGTCAATACAACAAAAAACAATCATGATAGTCAAAAGATGTTAAGCCAGAGAAATTTTCCAGAGAAAAGCTTAAGAAAAGTTAGGATTTATTACTACTTTATATAATACTACAACTAAGATCATCTAAACATTGTCTTTTTGTAAAATTATCTTCTCCTCCCACTCCAAGACAACCACTCTTCAAACACGTCTGCTGTATTTTAGCTAACTACTATTTTATGGTCCTAACATTTGTAGCTGCTTTAAAAAAAAAAAAAGTGAATAACCCCTTTATGTTCTGAGTGAAAAATATTTCAAATGCAACTGAGCATTCTGGTCACTGTCATTATCCTGATTTTTTAAGTTTCTTACAGCATGTTCTTTTAAATACCCATTTATATTGAGCAAATTTGAGGTAGCAGACATGAACAACAGCAAGTTGACAAGATAATGTGACATAATGCTCAAAGGCCAATGTGAACTTGAGGAAAGTTAACTGCTCTGGATCTCATCCTGCCAGCACCAAAGGAACATTTAAGTGCTCCAGAATTTGATCTGGTTTACAAAAAAATGCTACTTTGATTAGTACAGCCAAAATGGCGCCTGTGACTTCAGCAGCAGATGACCTGGCATTTGCAATATATTCATCTATTTTTGAAGATGCTAAAAAAAGAGTTAGAAATCCTATTTAGTCACCTGACAGCACATGTGAACACCTCTTCAACAGCCAGTTCCACATGTGGAATAGAGCAAAAAACATGCAATAGGCAAGGATGGGTTCAAGCCCAGGCTGAGACTTGTAACCAAAAGATCAGACAAAATCATTGCTCCACAGACAAAAGAGCAGCTATCTGCAGTAATGAACACTGCCAGTGAGTCAAAACAGTATGACAACTCAACTGCCCACTTGATTGAGTAGCTGAGCACAGCTGGTTCACTTGGAGGAAATTATATGACATGGGTTTAATTAGAATATTGTAATTATCAGTAGCAATGGGAAAGAGCAAGTATTTTATGTGTGCCTACAGTGGTATGTGTTCAACAAAGCTTTGTATAGCTCATGTAACCAAACAAAACCATCAGAAAATGGGAAAGATTAGCACACAGATGTAAAAGAGGACAGCAGATGGTAATAGAAAAAAAAACAAGAAAATAAAACACAACCATGTGTGGAACTAGCTTTGCTTTTTCTTCCCTAAAGTTTCATCACTAAACTGGCATTTTAAAAACATTTAGGCTCACTTGATCACCTGGTGGCAAAGCCATACAATGCAACATGAGACACGGAAATTTCCTTCCCAAACAAACACGGTGTTATCACACAAACTGACTGGTTTGGAAACAAGTGGAGGGAGGAAGGGGACTTATTTTCAAAACCCTATTCCCATGTTAAATACCAGGAGCAGTAACACCTCCTCAAATAGTAGAGGGAGCATTACATAAGAACAAGCAAAACTGGGAAATTTAAGTTATTACATCCCATGTGAAAAATACACTATATACTTTGCCCAATACTAATAATGTTCCTTATAAAAAAATCCAGGGTTTGATCCAGTGCCAGAAAGAACTGGATACACTTCCTAAAACATGTTTCACCTACAGTTTCAGTCTTTTAGCAACTCATACTACTGAGCAAGAGAATGCTGGCCCACCCCTCAAATGAAGTTCTGCTTATAAAGGGAAAGCTGCAATATAGACACTAGAAAAGCACAGCTTCTCAAGACTGATACAACAGGCAGGTTTATACAAATATATGAAAAGCTGCAATAAACTCATTGGAAAGAAAAGGTTTTGAAAATGTTGTGCTCTATTCTGTACTTTTGGACATGCCATGTTGTTAGACAAATGGCTCATCTCCCACACTGTATACAGCAGTGTATAGAGAAAGCAAAGTTTTCACTACCCCACCAGGCTCACCAGCTATGGATCTGAAACACAGTCTTCATACAAAGAAAAGACAAAGAGAATGTCAACTTGGGAGCTATGTCACAGTTTGCAAACTGAAGAATAACTTAAGTTTTGAAAAAGGAAGCTGGGTATCGAACTATAGCCAGCAACTGCATTTCTTCCAACTGTGAGTTCTGCTTACTTTTGAAGAAGCCCCCATACTGAGTATTTCATGAAGATGCCACTTAGGAAAACTACCTATTTTCTCTAGGAAGTCTGTGTTTTACAATTTTCCACCTATTAATAGTCAACCTACCTGCCCATAGTTGTCTATGCCAGTTACTAATCTATTTAAGTTTAATAAGTCAAAAGCTGTCCTTAGGGACTGGCCAAGAGTTGTGAGTCCTTCAGCCTGAAGGTTTTTCAGTTCATTCATAAACGTTGCATGGTTTTCCTTCCAGCCAGCCTGAAAAGAGAAATGTGAGAAGACTTATTCTCCAGACCCGAGCTTCGCTTTCCTGTGAGGCTACAATGTACCATCCTTGTCACATGCAGCTCATTACAAATGCTAACAAACCACCTTAAAAGTTATTAATAACATTCAGTGTTGCTCCATAAGGACTGGAAAGATTTACTTCTCTTAGATCCCCCCACCTATCCAACTTAGGTAGGTTTTGTATTGTTCCACAGGACAAATCTCGGCGAAGTCACAGATGCACGACCCTCACACCTATTTACACCGCTCTCGCACATCCTTTCCTAGACGGAAGCCAAACTGCGGTGCGAGCCGACCTCCAACAGGTTCACCGTCCCGTGTCATGCGGGCCCCCCGCCCCTTCCTCCCTCCCCACCCCCACGCGGTACGTCGGTCCGCCCCCCGCCCCGGCGGGGCTGAGGGAAGTGCCGTCCCCTTCCGAGTCCAGACTCTTCGGGCTGAAGTTGCTGCTTCCCCAGATCGCCCCTTCCAAGCTGAACTCTCCTTGGAGTTGCTGTCACTTCTCCCAACTTGAATAAATATCCCCCACAGTTCATTGCTGCTCGCACACACCACACAGGGAAAAAACGTCGGCCATGTTGATGTCAGCGCTGCCGCCGCCGCCGCCACGGGAGCCCGTGTGTGCCGCGCTGTCCCGGACCGCCGGCAGCATGGGCGACGCGATCGGGCGGGGGGGGGGGGGGGAGAACGCTTGCAGAGGACCGCGGCGGCGCGGAGGGGCCGGAAGGAAGCCGGGGGGAGCAGCGAGGGGGTGGGGAGGAGTGAGCGGGGGTTACCTTGATAGCGTAGGGAGGCTCCTCGAAAGTGACCAGCATGTACCTGTCTCCCCGGCTGGCCGGGTCCCGAGCTCGGAGCTGCGGCGCGGGGGACAAAGCAGAGGGTGAGCCGAGTGGCGGCGGCGCCGCCGGAGCCCCCCAGCTCGGCCCGGCCCTCCCGTCCCTGCCTGCCCGCACAACACACGCACGCACTCCCGCCCGCCCTCGCCCCGCGCCCCCGGCCCAGACAGCCCCCCGCGCCCTGCCTCCCCCTCCCCTCCCCGCGCAGTCACTCTCGCTCTCTCTCGCCTCCTCTCACAAGGCAGAGCCGGTACCTTCATGAAAGTCTCTACAGCGCCTTTGGCTATGTCCAGATAGGTGGTGCCCAGATGGGTGCGCTGGTTCATGGAGGCGGACGTGTCTATCAGGAAGAGTAAGATGGGCATAGTGCGGAGGGGCCGGCGGCCGGGCGGCTACATGGACAGCGGGCGGGGGGCTGAGGGGAGAACCGCGGGGCGGGGTGGGAAGGAGGGGAGAAGAGAAGAAGACGGGGACAGGAGAGGAGTAAGTGGCTGTGAGTGCTGTGCACGGGCAAGGGCGCGTCCCCGCTGCCCCTCTGCCGAGGCGGGGGGGAAGGGGGGACAGCCCTGCCTGCCCTGCCCTCCTTTGTGTGAGGGGCCTGCTCAGCCCGACACAGGCTGGTTTATGAAGGGAGAGGCGGATAGGGCTGCGCTGCTGCTAGCCTTCCCCCCACACCACCTTCCTCCACCGCCGCCCGCCCTCCCCTCCCCCTGTTGATGTTACTCAGAAGTTTCGGGCGGAGCAGCAGCAACCCCACCGCCCCGGCACTTTCTGTCTCTGACTGAGGCGCTTCCTCGCTCTCTGCCCGCTTTTAAAGCAGCCTGGGCAGGTCGGGGCCCGCCTCTGAAGGACACGTCCCGGCGCCACGTGACCACGTCTGGGCCCCGCCATAGGGCTCCCGGTAAACCGCCTCATTAGCATATTCAAACGACCGGGGTGGGGCGGGGCTCGGTAGCCGGAGCGGCTGAGGGAAGTGGGTGGTGGCAGAGTTCTGCCGCCGCGCAGGCGCAGTGGCGGGCGAGGTGGGGGAGAGGCCTGTCCCTCAGGCGGCAGCTTTCGGGCGGGGAGGAGGGGGCTCAGCTGTTGCGCAGGGGCTCTGCGGCGCCGCGGCCCATGGTGGCAGCGCCCTGCCCGAGTCGCCTGCTTTGGGGCGCGGCGGCGCTTGGGGAGAGAGCGGGGGAGGCCCCGGGGGAGCGCGGCCCCCCACGCGGCTGCTGAGGCCGTGACTCCGGCGCGGGCGGTGTGTCCCCGCTGGGAGCGGGCGGTGAGTCACGGGGGGATGGAGGAAGGGGGGGACCGGGCGCCGCGGCTCTCCTTGAGGCTGCGGGAAGGTGCCCAGCCCGCGGGGAGCCCCCGCCTGCTCTGGCCGATCCTGTCCTCTCCTCCAGCGTTCCTCCTTCCTCTTTTCGGGGGCCTGTACGGCGCTCAGGGGCCAACGCAGACGCTCAGGCTAGCGGGGACGGCCAGGGCAGCCTGAAACCCGCTGGATCAAGGCGGGCAGCATTTGCAGTATCCACTGGGTTTAGGACGTGGAAAAGTGTTTCGTTATCATTTAATGGTGAATTCCCAGAGACGTGGCCCAGCCTTTCACTCGATGCCTAGGGAAAAAGAAAAGCAAAAATAAAGTAAAAGGAAAAACAAAGTACTGGCTAGCCCTAGCTGTGACCTTTTCCCCTGCACACAGCCAGAGATTAACACTAATGTTTCTTTGATACATGTTACGTGAGGGCACTCCAAATATACTTCCTATAAATCGTCTCATCGGGGAATGTTTCCAACCAATTAATGACGAAGATTTCTGCTGTTTATTTGGTGGTTTGGGTTGCTTTTTCCCCAGCAGTTGAGTCTGCTGTTTCTGCTCTCATAGCCTTGGAGCAGTAACTCTGGAGCCATTTCTTAGCATAATCTGTTCAGTAGATTGCTCTGCTTCCTATCTGACTGATAATTTTTTTTTTCTCCTGATCCAGCCGATATGTGCCCACAGCCACTGCTTTAGAAGGTATGAAGCCATTTGTGCTCCTTCCTTCTCTCAAGGTAAAATTGGCAGTGTCCTGGTTTGATTCATCTTGTTATCCAGGCAAGATGTCTTGTCAGGCAAGAGCTGGTTTGGGCTTTTTTTTTTTTTTTTTTTTTTTAGGCTAATGAATGATTAGCATTTAGTCTCTAGGAAGAAGGAGGGACAGAATCCTGTTTCCATTACAGATTGGTATGCATTCTGTTGTCTGTGAGCAGCTTATTTTGGCTTTCCTGTCAGCACTGCACCTGTGACCTGTGCCATCCCTTCTCAGGCACTGGGCTGAAGTCAGGGACACCTCCTTTCAGCCCAGTTCACCATTCAAGGCACTAAGGAATCTCCAATCTCTGGAGATTCTCTGAGAGCTGGGAAGGCATTTTTGGAGCTAGTGCAGACTAAAATTCAGCAACTGGGTTTCTTTGGAAGCACCATTTTTTCCTATGAGTATTTCTCAGTGTAAATGCTTTTGGTGGTAAGAGTGGCCAGACTCACCCAGGTGCACCCAGGGGCTCTTGAGCTGCTTGCATCTTTCCAACAGTTCAGTGTCAGAGCCCCAGCAGTGATGGTGTGTCTTGTGACCAACAGCAGTGCTGTTTTGGTCCATGTTCTACTGGTTCGTCTGAACTCCTGCTCAGAGGAAGCAAGCCAGCAGGTGCCACAGAGGCCACCGCCAGTTTGCCCTGGAATCCAGCTGCATGCCAGCCCCCGTTACACAATAAAACATTTGGACTCTCAGACAGGCTTGGCTCACAGTCATTTTCCCTCTACAGAGGTGTTTTAGAACACCTTTCTTCCCCTCAGCTACCTACAGAAGTTGCAGCTCTTAAGGTCAGCAAGACTGGCTGCTACTGGAGTAGTAACTGTCTCCATAAAGTGGTGGGATTCAAGCTGTTAAGTAAAGGCTGCAGTGCAGTGCTGCGTTAACAAATCAGGCTTTGGGATTAGTAACATCATTTGGGAATAATGTTGAGTGAGTGTATGATACTGGCCTCTAGCTGGCTTCCTTTTAAATTTGAGATAGGCACCTTCTTCAGACACACCACCTTCTCTCCTGTTCATATGTTGCTGATATTTCATTGACTGTCTTAATAAAATCAGCATTACTTTTATGTGTTAAGCATCATGCATCTTCTTGGAGATTATCCTAAAAATAGGAAACTTCTGGAATGGCTCCTTCTCCAAAGTGCTGTAAAAAAAAAAGCATTTTAGAGTCCTTGCTGTACCAGGAAAATGTCATGGTAAAAGGTAGCCTGGGCCATGGAGGCTTCACATAAATCCTGGAGGGTAATTTGGAATTCTCAAGTAGTTTTGTTGCCAGTAAATGAAGGGGGGGGTGGGGGGGGTGGGATTACATGTTATCTCTTAGTGGTAGAATTAGGCAAAAACCAGCATGAATTCAGAATCAACTTTGAAAACTGCAAACTGTAGGCTGTAATTTTCTTACCAGAAGGTGGGACTGAAGCAGCTGGGCCTGCTGTACCCCTAGTCTCCTTAGTGATTATCACTAAAGGGAAAATCCCACAACAAAACTTTCACACAGTTCCAGTGGGATTTATAGAAGCAGAATCACTTTTCTGTGTGTATTTGCTTTTCACTGTTATCTTTGAAGCTGTTTGGAACATTCAGTTCTTCCTGCTCCTGTGCATCTTATATTAGATCCGTATTAGATCCCCTATAGGGCAGAATCAAGGCTGGGTGTGTGTTGTCTGCGGTAGGCATTAGTACTTTTCTGCTGGGAGCAGGCCAATTTGATTAATATTGAGAAAGATTCTTTTAAAGATAGATAATCAACCCAAGCCTTAAGTGTGTATCAGCCTCTTGATGTGAGAATCGTAATGGCTAGTGCTGCCATCAGAGTCAGATTTATAAATCTGTACAGGAGATTTGCTGTGAAGGAGCAAAACCCAGTGATATTAGTGCTTCTGCTTATTACTGGTAGAGCTGACACAGCTGAGCAGGGAGAGAGCTTGAGGCTGTCACTGAAAACAGATGCATCTTTCTTTGGTTTCAGCTTTTTTTTACATGGAGGGCAAAGTTATACCCCATGCGTGGTCTAAATGAGCCAGTTCCACCTTTTCTCCTAAAACTGGATGAATCATTTCAGCACAGCTTTGTCTGTAGGAATACTTTCGCTGTCCTGACAATACAAGAGATTCCAGATACTTCCGTACTGGTTTTGTTATTTATTGTGCATCCATGAGGAAATACAAATGTATATGTATGTCTAAGAATGCTCCTTTTATGATCTTCAGAATGGGCAGTGTCCATTTAGGGACAAATAAGATAGTATTTAAAATGCAAATTTCACTTTAAATTTGAAGGCTAAATTAATAAATGAAAAATCAAATAGACGTATGAAAATGCACCTAAAAAAATCATATGAGAAAGATGAAGAGCATTTTTGGCATAATTTGCTGTTGTGGTGGTTTTTTCCTTAAACAGTTTCTTCTCCCAGTTGATACCTGTGAGATTTTTTTGTCATCACATAGTGTTAGCCTTATTTTGTCCTAAATTGCAGGTGGAAATGGAAGATGTTATGGTTAAGACCTTCAAGCAGGTCTGAGAACTAAAATTGACAGTGTAACTTTTTTTTATTTATTTGCTTTCTCCTCAATTTGTTTCACAAATAATAGTTCAAAATCTTGGTGAGTCCAAGTTTTAATGACACAGGTAAATTTATCAGAGCTTCCTTTAGAATGCCATTCCACAGCCTTGTAGATTGTCATAATTGAACTTTTCCCTCTTTGAAAGTCTTTTATTTTCCATTTCCTGTTTTTATGTTGCTGCTTATCATTGAGGTATAACTCTTTATACAGCATTCTGAGTTTCAATTTATTATCTTTTAATACTTCTGTTACATTATGTTCACAGTTGGACCCAATCTTAAAGGTCTTTTCCAACCTAAATGATTTTCTGATTTGATGATTCCATTTAGTCTTCCTTTAGCCAAGTTCTGTGCATTCAACATGCTTTTTTTTGTAAATAAAAGTTTGTTATTCACTTGTCTGTGTATGTAGTACACAACACTTATATTTTGGGGGATTTTTTGGTTGGTTTTACTAGTTTCAGTTCAGTGGGTTTTGACCCTAATTTTTCTCTTTCTGTAATTGTTATCAAAGAGAAACTGATTTAATCTTATAATTCAGGTACCTTAGTTAAACTTATAAAGCTCATCCTAGACTGAGTAATCACTGAGAAGGCTGGGATCAGATAAGATGTAACACCAAAAAAATTCAGAAAAGTGCCATTAAGATAACTGTTTTTTATGTTCTCAGGTTTTTATGTTCTAGGGCTTTGACTGAGGATGCCTGTTTTTCTAACATTTCCAGAGGCAGCTGTTTTCCTTTGAAACTGTCTAGCACCTTTTAGAAGCCTGTAGTTTGGCTTCCCCAGCACCAGAGCACAGTGAAACTACATCCCTCTGCAGAACAATGACCTCTAAAAGAAAGTTGCATTCTGTCTCCTTTTGGCCCACCTTCAAAGACAGCCTCCTTTCCATTGTTCGTCCACCAGGAAACCCAGAGGATAGCCTTTGAAGCTTCCTAGGGATTTTTGTATTCCCTACCACCCCTCCAGTAATCCAAATCCCTTGCTGTTTCCTGGCTCAAGAGTTGGAGCTGCAGCAAACAGCAGTGTACCATCCCAGGGAAGAACAGTTAATGTGGAAATGCAAGGAAATGGGTATTATAGTACGCTGATATATTGTTTTCTAATTGTACAGGCTGAATGTGGGTACTGGAAGACCAAGTTCGTGAATATTTGTGAAGTACTTAAATTCGTCCAAATAAAGTTATAATAGAAGTGCACAATAAGATTATTTTCAGAGGAAAAACAAATCTCTGAGGACTATCTGTGCTGTGACAGCAGAAGTCAGTCAGTTAGTGATGGATAGGTTGCAAGGCACCTGAATAGAAGATAAGGAGGCTTCTGTCATTAAAATCAAACTGTATGCTTTCCCCTTAGTATTACTGGCCTTAGCTTGAAAGGTCTTCCTGGCTATGAGTTGTATTCATATGTATTTCACCGTGTTTAACAGAGCAGGACCTCTATCATATCTAGTACCATGGGGGAATATTAAATGTGACATGGAGAAAGCTGCTTAAAACAAACATTTCAAAATTACAGTTGTAATAAGGTAGCACATACGATAATTCAAATAGATTTGCAGTTCTTATACATGCTTACTTATATGTTACATTGCTCTTTTCAATTAAGGTAGAATTCTGGTCAAGAACAAAAACCCATCTCAGCTCTGGGCCTTTAAATTTATTCCCTCTCTTGGGTTTCTCAGCTGGCATGTCAAGGCCCAAAGAGAACAGAAGACACCGTCTAGCATACAAAGGTGACTTTACCTGTGGTTTTGAGATTATTTATTTATTTATTTATTTTTCTTTCTTTCCTTCTTCTTTTTGAACTTATTTCCCATCCTTGAGATGCTGGTAGTAGCAGGCAGCAGCAGTCCACTTGATTCCTGGTAACAACAGACTGCCCAGATAAATACTGGTAGAGTTCTCAGCTTCCCTCCAGCCTTTTAGGCCATGAAAACAGACAAAGTCTTCTGCATTTGCTAAAACAACGGGACTGAGAAGACCTTTGCTTATTATGCCAGGGGGGAAAAAACAACAAACCAACCTCTCTTGTCAGGATGGCCAGAGATAATCATAGAACAATATGTGTGGGAAAAGACCTTAAAGATCATCCATTTCCAACCCCCCCGCCATAGGCAGGGATACCTTCCACTAGACCAGGTTGATCAAAGCCCCATCCAACCTGGCTTTATAGTTACATCTATAATTTGAGAGAGATCATTTGTAGCAGGCCACCCTGGTTTTGTTTAGCTTTCTTGTAGCCCTGGTTAAAAGCTCCCACATGTGTGGTAGGGAGTTCATGCAGCCCTTCACACAAACACCTGTAACACAATGTTGCCATGCAGGCTCTCCTCAGGATGACAGGAACAGAACTGGAGTATTCTTTCCCCACACCACCACTTTTAAACAATCTTTCAGATGGTTGCTACATCCTTCCCTGGGAAGTTTTCCTGGCCGGTACCTGCTGTCCTGAGCAATTCCTTGTCATCGTTCCAGTGATGGCTTTTGTTCGTTCCTCCAAGCACTCCTTCTTGCCCACACTAAGAAGTTGCAGTAGCACCAGAAATCATATCCTTGCTGAAGTGCTGGACTCTCTCGCACATTTTATAGCATAGCAACATAACTCCATTACCATGGATCCCAGACACAGGCATGCAGAATTTATCTAACTAATTGAGCAGCTAAGGGAAATCAACTCCAGCTACAGTCAGCTTGGAGTGTAAAGCAGTTACAGCTGAAGACAGTCTACAAGCACTTCCCAGGGAGGCAAAACAATGAGGTGTGTTTTTCTTGTTTTCTTTTCTTTTTTAATGGCCAGTGTAATGGGTTATAGTCTTGGTAAACAGGACAGAATTATTCATACATCCCTAAATCGCTTCCCACTGAGGTATCACACCTGCATGTGGTATTTGAGAGCTGGGAGCTCTTTCTTTAAAATATTGCCATGCTGCAGAAGTTTATTATCCAGCTTTTACTCTAAATGTGATTATTATGCATTGCCATCTTTTGCCCAAAATCAAAATATGCTCTGAAAGAAAGATCCACTTGGTTGGTCTCTGCAAAGCAGCTGGCATGACTGGTGTCAAAGGGAATATAGACCAGTTGCCCTGTCTTTTGCCACTTAGCAGTTAATGAAAACTTATCAAATTTCAACTAGTAGCTAATTGGAAATCTTTACAAAAGCCATCTATAAAGCACAGATATTGGTCTTCTAGAATAAAAGAAACCTGATAAAGCCTCTTTAATCCAGGGAATAAATCTGTTCATTTCTACTCCCTGATCTCAAGCACCTTTGCAAGGTGTTTGGTTCTGTTTGCTTAGCATGTTAGTCAAAAGATACACTTAAAATGAAGGGAAATGTTGGCGTTTTTTTCTACTTTTATGCACACACTGAAGTTGTGATATAAGACCTATTTGTTACAGAAAACTTGAATGTATGCCATGGTGAGCAAATCTGTCTTGCACCAACGTGGAGAAAAATAGTGTCTTGTTTTAGTTGTAGTCAATGGCTCAATGTCCAG